CCACTGGCCACTTAGGCCAAGTATAGACAAAATGAGAGGCATGTGCATGACACTTTAAAGCAGGCTAAATGCTTTTGCACTGCTTTAATGGTGTTGATGTTCGCACGTCTTGTCGGTGTATTGCGCATTTATTTCAGCTGCTGTAGGAAATTTGGTGGCCTAATGCGCCTTAAATGACTCGGAGTGCAGCAAACTACAGCTCCTTTGAGGAGTTTTAGTTTGCTGCCCCTATAGCCACAGAGCGAAGCGTCAGGCTCCATGCAGCTCCACGGCTCTGCAAGAAGCCCTGCAGGCAGCCTGACAGAAGCCCAGGAAAGCAGCTCTGCCCAAGAAAAGCGGTGAGCCTGATCTTTTTTTTTAGCCCCCCTGGAGCCTGCCTGCCTGCATGAGCTGTGTGGGGGCATGGTGCTTCCCTCTGCAGCTGCGGTGTCCCCTGGGACTGCCCAAGCCGGGGGTCACTGCTGTTGCAGAGGGAAGCACCGGTCCCTCCACAGCTCAGGGACCACTCTGCCCGCCATCAGCTCGCCTTCCCCTCCCTGCCAGAGAGGCAAGTAATTAGCGGGGTGTGTGCGCAACACGGGGGTTTAATCAGCCCTAAATTGAAGCAGTGTTTTTTAAAACCCACTGTTTCAATTTAGGGCCCCCGTTTTGTCTACACATACGCTTAATTTCTTTGGAGCATGCTTTCCGATGTGTTAAATTGAGTAATATGGCTTTCTTTCCTTGCCTCCTGTTCTTCACTTTCTTCATCTACAAAAATGATAGATTAGTGGTTGATTTGAATACTGGATCCTACAGTTTCAAAGAGCAGAATAACAACATGTTTCTATACTAAAATATTGTAAACATTCTGCCCCTTGTAAGTTAGTTAATGGGAGTCTGGTGATGGTCCCATGCTAGAGCAGAAGCTGCTTTGTGGTGGTAGGCCTTTAACTTTTGCTTACAAATTCCAGGGATCTTTCTGCAGTTCAGGTTTAGGGACTCTGTTCAATGACTCAAGGGATTGGGGAGCAGGGTTTTACTTCTTCAGACAGCTGCCCCTGTGGTTTTGCAGTCCTAGCAATTCCTTGCTCTTTAAATGAGCATTTTGCATGATCGACTTTTCTTAAACTCCAGTCCCTACTTTCAGTCCTATTTATATTAATCCCTGATGAATCACTGACCCTTGGTAAAACATGGTCCTCTGTGCTGCTAAATCTATTTGCTGTTCCCTTTCTGTTCTCATAAGTATTTCTTCACTTCTCCCTAGCACATCTCCATACCCGCTCCTGAAATTACTGTCAGAATTGTTTAGGGATCCTTAGCTACTAATTCCATGCTTATTAGTGCTGTTTTTAATTCTTGCTTTTGGAAACAAAATACATTTGAGCAGATTGTTCTGCTCCTCTTTCCTAAATCTAGGAGCTTGTTAATGTAGCAAATTCATGTGTACTATCCTGATTCTACCAAATTGAATGCATGCAGAAACTGGCCTTTAATTTGACTGACCCATACATTATTTCTTCTGATGCATTTCCACTAAAGAGCTCACAAGGGCTACTATTAACTTGTGACAGTATGGCAGCATATACTCCCGTATAATTGTTTTAAATAGACACATTATTTACAATATACTTCCTGAAGGAAAATTAAATTTATATTTAGGAAGTGTGGTGCCACACTTAATGGGCTTTCTGGTAGCTGTAGTTTATGGTCTTTTTTAATCTTGTTTATTTAAGTTGTAACACATTATAAGCACCACTTAATCTTTTTTATTAACTATATGAATCCATATTAAAATTTGAGAATTGTTATCTGTGACCAAAGATTTAGAACTTTATATTATATATGCCTATTTACAGGTAAAAGGGAAGTTGTGAAGTAGAAAACTGAAGTGTTAAGACTGAAAAATTAGGAGAGTATAGCAGGGTAACAATCCTGATCCCACAGTCCTTTAATTTAGTGGGAGTCTTGCATGCTAGTGTGCTATTAAATCAGGTCCAGTAGTAGGCTACATGCACCTAGGACAACTTTGCCACTGCAGCCTTGGGTTGTAGTCTATTATCAATCACTTTAACAGCTCAGATTATTGCCTGTCCCTCTTGTATGTAGAACAGGTGGCATTTGACTGCTGCTCTTAAGAGCACTACCTTGAGAAGGGATGCTGTCTAATGGCTAGGACAGTTGATTGAGAGGCATAATCCCTGCATTCTAATTTTGGCTCTTTCACTAAGGAGCTTTGGGACCTTGGGCAATTCATTTAAGATCTGAGCAATCAGTAGAGAGGAGATAGGAGCAGTTGGTTCTTTCACAGAGGTATTGTGACATTCAGTTCATTCATGTTTCCATCCAGGAAGAGCACACACCAACTGCTGAAGCTTCCTTAGCCTGACGAAGGGTTTTTGAACCCAAAAGCTTGCTTAATAACCATTCTCCAACCATTTGGGTTGGTCTAATAAAAGATATCAAATTCACCCAAGGAACCTTGTCTGCCTATGTTTCTATAGTGGCATTTATCTGAAGATCTCAGACCACTTGATTAAATGCAAAGAGTTATACCCTCTTTAAAGTTAGCCTGTAAATCTGAGGCTTTAATTTAGATTCAGATTACTTATGCATATGATGAACAGTGTTTCTTGATGAATAAAGATAAATGTTATTTTGTTTCTTTTTTGTGACAGAATTGCTCAGCTTCTTTTCACAGATCTTCCTAATTTTTTCCACCATAATATATGTATAAGGCAATATATTTGGGTGCTTTAATATTTAGCATTTAAACCAATCCAGTTAATGTTTGACAGATGCTGTAGTATCTTTTATAGGGTACTTCTGTACATCAGGTATCATCAGCATTTCATTAAACATACGTGTCTTCCTGCTGCTTTTAACCTTTGAAATACCAGACCTGCTCAAGTGAACGCTGCCATTTTACCTCCAAGTAAATGTGACCTGCAGAATCTACAAGCTTTAATACTATCATATAAGCTTGAAATAGTAACACCTGTGCGGTTATTTATACTTGTAAAGGGTGTTTCATCCTCTACTCTTTTTCTTCCAAGAAGAGAATAAAGCTTCATTCTTGCTTTCACCCTGAGGTTTAGGAACAGGTACTGAGGAACAGCAAATCACCACAGATCATATGGTCCAGTTATATAAGCCAGTGTTTCCTAAACCTTGTGGGTTTACAGCCTGCTGTAGTAAAGTTGGGCCTTCCCACACTCCCTTAATTCAGCTGCTACTGCAGCTTGCTCCACCACTGATTTCCCATTGCTGGCAGCAGTCAGAGGCATGGAGAAGAGTGACAGGGAAAAGCAGTGGTGGTGACTGAGGAGGGGGACACTTCTAGGAACACTTCATGCCCCCCCAAGGGGGTGTGCTCCAGAATTTGGGAAATGCTACTGTAAACTGGTTCACCTGGAGCATCAAGGAGCTTCAATTGATTATTTTAAAGTGGGGGTCATTTAGGTGCAGGGATCTGCATGCATGGAATAGCTGTCTCTAGTGGGTTATGGAATAGAGGAGTTCCCACACAACTTACTGATTCGTTTGATGCACTGGCTGGGGGAGTAGTTAGTTGATTGCACAATTTCACAATGATTACACACTTAATTCATACAACACAATTTTATTTTAAAATTCTTTGCTACGCATATAACACTGCTTAGCTTTAAGAAATACCACAAACATTAAGAACACAATAACTACATATATCAGAAACAATGCTCCGAATGTACTTCCTTCCCAAACAATGCTATAAGAATTAGTATTACAAAAACAACTACAATTACAACTAAAAGTTAAATTTGAATCAATACTATTATTTTTCATAATATACTTACAATTCTAGAATTCCGAGAAGCCAAACACCTAGATATGGTTTCATTCCTCAGTAGTACAATTTAATGGGTTGGCCTCAGTAGTATGGTTCAATGGGCTCGCCTCAGCAATACGGTTCAATGGGCTGGCCTCAATACTGATAGGACTAAGTTCCCTTCCTTCAGTCCCTTTCGGGTGCTCTGCGGGTTCAGCGTGAACTAAGAGATTCGTGTTCACGGAGAGGGTGGTTCAGGTGATCGGTCTGATCCGGCCTACACTTGCGATTCTTCCTTCGTTGTTCTGCAAGTGAGGTTACCTCCAAATTGGGACAGTAGGTTACAGTTTTTATTGAGTGAGTTGCCGTCTTGGGCCCCTCCTACCCAAACCTGTCACTACTCCCAAATTTGGGCTCGGCTCTTTCTTAACAGATTTCTGCTGGGTTCAGTAAAGGCCTCTAAAGATAAAATTCAAGAGTTAAGACTTTGAGCAAGGTCAGGACCTTCCGCACGTAGACCAAAACAATGGCCTAGATAAGAAGATAAATCTTGTCTTCTTCCTAAACTGGCTAATGGGCAACTATTACAAACATTCAAATATTACATTCAATATGACAATAGCTTGCAGCACAGGGGCCCAAGTCAGCATGGTATGGCAAATGTAGCACTGCCTGTCTTTTCCTTCTTCTGTGTATGGTGCAATACTAACTGCCCAAAATGACTCTTCAAGGCTGTAGTTTATAGTCCACTGAGGTTGACTGGAGTCTTTCCATTGACTTGGGAGGACTTTGCATCTGCAGTCAGGAGCTTGGCTGTGAGAATCTGAGACATTCCCCCCCCCC